CAGGGAGCAGACCTCCCTGGGTGGTCTTGGGGCAAGGAAATGGGCAACCACAAGCTCACTGTGGAATATGCCCTGAGTTAGGAAATGCAGAGAGGGCAGGGGGAGGATGGAGGCCGAGTCACGCTCCCCCATCCCAGAGTGAGGGCGGGAGACACAGCAGAGTGACAGGTCCTGGCCAGGAGACAAAGTGAACTCCCAGGCAGGCCACCACGGGGGAGGGAGCCAGACAGATCTATGGCTGCCGTCCTTGGCTGGAGCACAGAAAATTAAATGTCTCCAGAGAGCTTTCCCCATCCTGGAAGTAGAATCTTACACTGGATTCCACCCCCTCACACCCGAGAAAGGGCCGATATCTGTTTTCCTGTCTGTATCTGCAGTTGGGCCCACAGGACTAGGGGGAAGAGTAGTCGCCACTGGCAGAGATAGATCAGACCCCTGGTCGCTCTGGAATCTCATATTTACCATCAGTGTCAACTCTGGCCCCACATCGCAGGGCTTAAGTGTGTCACAGGCACTTGATGGGCTCCTACAACCTCCCAGGGAGGGCAGGACTCAGTGGAACTGTCCAGAAGGCTGACCAAGAGAGGCCCTGCCTTGGCCAGGGTGAGCGGCAGGCACATCTGCCCCTAGAAGGCCATTTGGCAAAGGACACGGAGTTTCTGGAGAGACGTGGGATGTGTTTTCGGTCCTCATGGGACACCCCTGGTACATTTCTTGCTCTGGTCAGTAAGGTGAGCTTGTGTAGGTAAGAGATGAGTCAGGACAAGAAAAGTGTCCCATGGAATAACGGGCTTCTCTCCAACGGAGGGCACCACCACAGGGGCTCAGCACCTTCAGGTCCTGCCCGCACGTCTCGGACACAGGACACCACATGTGGTGGAGGCCTCCCCCTGCCCTGGGCTGGTGTGGGGTCCTCCAGGCCCTCAGAGCAGCCCAGCCTTTCCCCTTTCTCCTCAGTGGACAAGCCTCACCTGAGTGCAGGGGCATCCCTGCTGCAAATAGTGGGACTTGAACCAGCCAACCCCATTATAGGAAGGACAAGTGCAGGAAACCACAGGGGGAGGCCCCTGCCCCCAATATGCAGCTGGTGAGGGTCTAAAATAGCAGCCCCGAGGATGTCCCAGAGGGGCCCCTGCATGGAGAAAAGACTTCTCGGCCCTCCCCCCGGGCCTCCCCCTGCTGCCGGGACTCACTGGCGTGGACCTGCAGGCAGCACTTGGCGCATGTGATCAGCGGGCTGGTGCCGTCGTCCCCGATGTAGGAGTTGGCGGGGAGAGGCTCCGTGTTCTCGCCGCTGGAGGTGAAGCACATCTCGGGGATCAGCGGCCGCGTCTTTTGGCCACTTTTGGAAGGTGGCACAGCCAAGGAGCCCTCCCCAAAAGAGGCCTGGGGCGCCTCTTTCTCGGTCTGTAGGGACTGCAGGGAGAGGGGCTGGCCTTTAGTGGGGAGAGCCCAGCACAGCTGGACAGGTGGGCAGAGACCTTTTTCAGGGCACCCACCCTGTGTCTCCAGCACCCCAGCTCCGAGGCCACTAGGGGCAGATGGGGGGACAGCTGACACTGTTAGACCAGGCCAGGCACCTGGGGCCACCCTGGACTCTGCCCCTCTTCTCGTCCCCCACCCAAACCCCAGAAAGTCCTGGAGGACCCCAAAGCATGGCCCAGTCCTGTCCCAGCTTCCATGCCTGCCCTTCATGGCCACTAGGACAGTGTGTTTGCTGGCTGGGGTGTGATTAAATTAGTCCTGTCGCTCCACTTGGCAGATGCTGAGAGGATGAGCCCAGCACCCAACCTCCCTGCAGCCTCTTGGGCAGCACAGAGGACAGGACGCGCCTGGAGAAGACGTCTAGATACTATGTCTCACTTGTCTCAATGGACAGGGCGCTCGGTCTCGCTTAGAGACGGCAGGTGCGAGCAACTCTGGGTTCACGCTGCCCCCAGCCTCTCCCGTCAGCCCCCTGAGATGTTTTGTCCACCAGGCCAGGCTCGAATCTCTGGCCCAGGAGCTTTCTGGGTACATGACCTGCATGTAGCTCTACAGCCCTCCTTAGGGAGGCTCTGGCTACGCACTCAAAGCGCTCCTCCCAGGGGCGGGGGGCTGTGCGGCCAACTGGTCCCTCTGTGTGGCCTCCCCACCCCTGGTGACCCTCCTGGGGTTCTCTTCAGGCAAGGCAGACATGGGCCACGGCACTCACCCGGCTGTACGGGTAGAAGAGGCTACAGATGGCGCAGTAGGGCTCGGTGCGTGCGGCCGCCGCGTTGAACCTCCTCTCGGCCTGGAAGCTGGCTGCCTCGTTCTTCCACTGTAGGGACAGCAGGGACCGCAAGGCCTCGGGGTCACTCATGTCTTCCTCCCCGGAGAAAGGGAACGCTTCTAGGAGAAAGCAGGCCAGGTGGGGAAGAGGGTAGAGAAACTTGAGCACCATGAAGACACTTCCGAGGAATCCACCAAACTGCATGTGAGCCGCTCGCCTGACTCGGATGGGCACCAAGAAGTGGGTGATGGGTCCCCACTTCCTGACCACCCCGGCTCAGGGTGCCTGGCCCTTTGCTCGCCTGTCCCACCCCCTTCCTGCTGCCCGGGCCTTCAGGGTGCCCATCGCAGCTGGCACAGCACTATCCGTCTCACTCCCCGAAGCCTCCCCAGAGCCTAGCCAACCACCACCCTCAACAAGTGTCTATGGAAAGGCCTGAGGCCTGCGCACCCCAAACGCGGCTCCTCGGAGCTCCCACCTGCCCAAGGCCTTCCAGGCCAAGGACCTGCTACAACTGCAGGCCCAGCCCCACCCTGCCAATCCACGCCTTGCTCTAAAGTCTGAGTCTGGGGCAGGAGAGGCTGGTCAGCAGCAACAGGGACACACAGGAACACTCCCCTTTCTCATCATCCTCAGGCTACTCAGCCCTGGCAACTTCCTCCTTGCATGGGGGACCCAGGTCAGTCCACCAGCAGGCACGTGTCCACAGCAGGGTCGGCACAGACTCCCTGAGCTCAATGGAGCTGTAGCAGAGTGCAGTGGGGACTTAGGGAGGGGGCAACGAGTGGGGCCCAGGCAGCCGGAGTCATCTCAGGATGACCTCAGCCACCAGAGCCACACTGAGGGGAAGGCAGATAAGGACATCTCAACCTGTTAGTGGCTGCTTCTGCTCGAGAGAGATCACTGCCACCTCTCCCACCCTGGCCTGGCCTCTGAGTCTTCCGTGACCAGCCAGCCATGTCCCGATCTCCCCATGTGTCCTCCCTGTGTCTCCTGCATACACTGTGGTGCTGTCCCCGAGAAGCAGGGTGCTCCTTCCTGAGGCCCAACCTCAGCACACCTCACTGGGAGCCTGGTGTCCTGGGCTCGGTCCCAGCATTGCTGCTGCTCCCGGTTCAGCCTGTGAGGTCAGGGCAGACCCACCCCTGACCCCAGATGGATGCCCAGGATCCCTCCATAGTGCTAGGAGGACCTTGGGGCCAAGACTGCTCTGCTTGAGAACCCAGGCCCAGAGGTCCAGCCAGCCAGGCCCAAGGAAGGCCCCATGAGGGCCCCCAGGCACCTGGTCATGAGAATGAGCCCCTGGCTCATCACCTGTCACCAAAGATCCAGGATATGCGCTGGTTCTGTCGCCAGTGTTTTACCAAAGCGATGCAATGGGTGCTGACGGTGGGGAAGGGCACCCCTAGCCCACAGACACCCTGGAGGCATTTTCTGGAAACAGCATCAGCTATAAGGGGACCCCCCTGCCCCCCACAGCCTGCAGGGCCCTGGGTCACGCCTCATTCCTCCTGCCTTGTTCTTCCCACCCCGGGGAGCTCCGGTCCTGAGATCTGCAGTGCTTCTAGAACCCCTCCTCTCTCCAGCCCTCAAATTAGATTCAGGATGAAAGAAGCCATCCAGACAATTTTCAAATTCTACGTGAATCTTAAACGGAAGGCTGAAGCGGAAGATGAAAAATTGGCTTAGCAGGATTTCTGCACACAAGATAGCGACTCTCAGCTGAGTGTTAAATAGAAGATTCTCCGTCTCCTCCCACCCCACCGACTCAGAGCCTCGCCAGAGCCTTTTGTTCTTTTTTTTTTTTTTTAAAAAAGATGACCGGTAAAGGGATCTCAACCCTTGGCTTGGTGTTGTCAGCACCACGCTCAGCCAGTGAGCGAACCGGCCATCCCTATATGGGATCCGAACCCGTGGCCTTGGTGTTATCAGCCCCGCACTCTCCTGAGTGAGCCACGGGCCGGCCTAGGGTTTTGTTCTAGTCTCTTGGAGGACCCACAGCCTCTGCTCAGCTGTGGGAAGTGACTTCCATCAGGAAGTGTGCTCCCCAGCCCTTGTGAACTGCCCTGCACAGGCAGCCGGGCCAGCACGTCTGGGCCAGGAGTGGCCCCAACGACAGCTGCCTGCCCCAGAATGACCTGGCCAGCAACAAGGCTTCCTCCAGGCACACAATGCCAGTATAGCCCGCTGTCACCAGCCCTGGGGGGAGGAGCTCCTCCTGGCAGGATCAGCGTCTGCACAGAGAGCCTGAGTGAGGGCTGCCCCGGGGGTCAAAGGCAGCACCCACCCTCACAACCATGGTAACTTAACCCAGCCTCAACATCTGCCCAATGCCCAGCACCAGGCCGGGTGATGAACAGGAATCCACTCCGGGGGTCTTCCTGACAGGACCCCATTGGAGGGCCAACAACCCCATCTTATAGATGAGGAAACCAAGTCACAGAGGGTATTTTAAACAGTGCCTAGAGTCCTGGGCTCGAGGCAGTGGGCTGTGGTTGAGGCCTGAGTGGCTGGGGCCTGCCCCTTGCTGGCTGTGCTGAACATTCCAGGTCCTGGGTCCAGCACAGATGCCCACAGTGGGAACCAGTAGATGGGAGGGGAGGGAAAAGAACCTTCGGGCAGTCCTGAGGGCAGTACAGGAGCCGTGGGTGGTGAGCATCAGGGAACACGGGGGCACAGGACGAGCAGGGCAGCTCGGTCTGATGCTGCATGTAGAGAGGCCTGGGTAGTCTGGGAACAGACGTGGTGGCCTGACCATGGGTGGTGATGGTGAGGGAGGGAGGAAGGCCAGAAGTGGGGCACTGCTTCCCAGGGTGACCAGCAAGGGCCGAGACTGTCTGACTCGGCAGGCAACGGAGTGAGGCGATGGAGGNGGGTGACCAGCAAGGGCCGAGACTGTCTGACTCGGCAGGCAACGGAGTGAGGCGATGGAGGGGTGTGGGGTGAGCTCAGCCTGGGGCCCCTAGGGTCTGCGGGGGGTGGGGGTAGGGGACAGGGAACTGCAGGGGAGTGAGCCCCCAGCAGCGCCGACTCGGAGGGGACCTTCACTCACCCTCGTCACTCGATGCCTCTTGCTTGACCACTGACAGTGGGGACCGGGTGGGTGGTTTGCCCAGAGGGTGGCGCCGGCTCTTCTTGATCTCCATCTTCAACTTGGAGAACGTGGACACCACCTGAAACACACCGCGAGCCACCCCGTGAGGGCGCCGCTTCCAGACCCCGGGCCCGGAGGCCCCTCGGGCAGCCTCCCAGGGACAGGCCAGGGACAGGCCAGACGCAGGTGCTGCTTAGGTCAGCCAAGCAGGCTCCACTCGCCCCTCCCCGCCGGGCCCCCAGGGACTCCCCGCACCTCTCCAGCCCGGGCCTTGGTCTCGGTGCGGCCCGCCCCGCCGCCTGCTGTGCCCTCCTCCTCTGGCCCCGCCAGCTCCATGGGGGCAGCCTGCTCCTTCCAGACGGGGCCCTTATGGGCGAAGTGCTCAAAGGTCTGCTGAGAGGACACACGGTCCTCATCGGGCACCGCCTGGCTCCTCCGTGGCACCACGTACAGCATGGGGATGATGGGCCGTGACT